AGTGTCGCTCTCTCTCTCGCCGTTCACGACCTTCCGGCGGGAGCCACCGGAGCCTATGTGCCCAGCCCCGAGTTTTGTACGAGACAGGTTTATTTATTAAACCAGTTCATGTTTTGACGCCTCAGTCAAAGGGTCGTCATCATGATCGTCCACCTCTCTCTGGTTGTAAGCACAGCGGCCGAGAGTCATCTTACTGCGGCCCCCGATGCCAACGATGGAGTCGACGGCGAGGTCCTCTATGGGATCGGAGCCGACAAGGAGGTTCACCATCGCGTCCATGTCGGCTTCGCTGCCATAGACCTTCGGAGAGCCCCTTCCGCCCTGCCGCCGTCACCTCTGGCCTAACCCCACCGATTCTACTGGATCACCTTCTACCGATGATCTTACCTGCTGAGGGGAGCTGGGCTTCGGATGAGGAAGGCGGCTGTAATGGAAGCGAAGCAAAGCACACGGTGCGCCACATCGAGGAAATCGACGATTTCGTCTAAAGCCAGGATTCTTCCGCTCCGATGCGTTGATTTTCGTCGGACAACGCGTTGTTCAGTGGCCCAAGGCGCGGCGATTCCCACCCCTCAACAAGTCCGCCAACCACGAAGCACCTTCCAGGTTGACGAGAGAGAGAGAGAGACTGCTGTAGAAATCAGAAGCCCTCTGGGTCAGAAACCATCTCGATAAGTTCCAGATGAAGACTGCAGCCGTCTTTCTGAAGCCCTCTCGATCCTCTCTGCAGAAGAAACTGGTGCGGCCTCTCTCTCTCTCTCTCTCTCTCTCTCTCTCGCTCTCGTTCTTTCTCTCTTGCTCTCTCACTTTCTCCGTCTCTCTCTCTTCTTGCTCTCTCACTTTCTCCGTCTCTCTCTCTCTCTTGCTCTCTCACTTTCTCCGTCTCTCTCTCTCTCTTGCTCTCTCACTTTCTCCGTCTCTCTCTCTCTCTTGCTCTCTCACTTTCTCCGTCTCTCTCTCTCTCTCTCTCTCTCTCTCTCTCTCTCTCTCTCTCTCTCTCTCCCTCTCTCTCTCGTCCGATGGATTTCTCCCCTTTCTTTTCCTCCACTGGTTTCCGTATTGCGAGGTGATGATATGGAACGACCATTAGAGCTTGCTCGTCGTATCCGACCTTGAAATCTAGAGTAATCGTCTTCACCACATCTTGCGGCGTGGATCCGTTCCTTGGGCCCTATAAGATCTGATCGATGTGCACGCGAATCCTCCAATTCGAGATCGATCTCCGGGTTCCGATTTCTTCCATCACCAAATAGCTTAGCTAAGACATCCCATGTATGTTCCATCTTGGCACTCATCGGAGTAGCTCTTTGACGGCCTTTCTCTCTCTAATTTCTCTCTCTATATGGTGGGGACAAACACGACGATGAATCAGAAGGGACTCACTGCTTAGAGAAGGGTGATCCCCGTTTTCTTTTCCCATCATTCATCTGTTATGTTTTCTATGGCCGGAAGGGGCAACCAAGAAAGAACTGTGAGCAAGAGCCCCATCGAATAAATTCTGGATTCACAGACAATTGCTAGTACAGTCATCAACTTGATTATGAAGGGATTGAAAGAGCTACACCCACAAGAAATCAAACTACTAGACCAAGTAAAGCTGCAATTAAAATCCCTATAAATAGAAGTCAGGTAAGGTTAATAAACGGATCCTTAGTAGATTTTGATAGGAACAGAGCTAAATTCCACTTTATGGTAGAGTAACTTGTCCAATAGTTTTGAGAAACAGCCTTTGAAGCTGAGGACATCATTGAGGATTTCCATATTATGATCGACCAGAAGAAACACAACAGCTTCAAAGGTTCTTTGAATAGTTTCTTCTTCTGTGTAGGTGAGACCTTTACTCGTCACAAGTTGAGTATTCACATCAAAGACATAGGAAGATAATTTGTAAGATTTTCAATCAGATCAAGATCCACAAAATAAGAGTAATACAAGTTAATGAATCTACTTCCTCTTATGTGGTGTGAGGTATGTTTAAGTCATAAAAAACTATTTATGTCTAAGAGGCTGAGTGTTGTTGAATGGGAAATTTAAATTTAGAGACATATTCATGTTGGAAATTAGAGGAATAAGAAAAACTATCATCACCAAGAAGATCTACAATAATGATGTAGTCAATAGTCATTTGATTATAGATTAAGTCATTACTAACTAAACACAATCATTGAACTTTTGTGAAGCATCGTAGTCTACATCATGGGGACACTAATGGAGGCAAAGAAGATTAAGAAATTGATAGGCATGTAAATCTATGATGTAAGTAGTGAAGTTCTTCAGTTACATGTTTGTCAATTTCCTAATCACCTCTGCCTCCATCAGTGTCCCCATGATGTAAACTATGATACTCCAGAAATGTCAATATTGTGAATTTTTAATCAATAGTGACCTAATATGTAATCAAATGACTTTTGACTACATCACAATTATACATCTTCTTGGTGATCATGGTTTTTCATATTCTTCTTATTTCCAACATGGATATGACTACAAGTTTAAATTCATCATTCAACAGCTACTCCCTTATGAACTATTTAACCTCTATAAATTCAACAACACTCACCCTCTTGGAAATAATAGCTTCATGTAGCTCAAATGTTCATCACAATTACATAGGAGGAAGGGGATTCAGCTCTTGGTCAAAAATCTAACAAATTCTTTTCATGGCATCTTCAATGTGGATATCCAATTCATGATGAGTAGAGGTTTGGCCAACATAGATGGGGAAGCTCACCAAAGAGCCTCTAAAGCTACTAGATTTCTTTTAGTCAATCATGAGATAAAAATCATTGATGATATCTTCATCTTTAAGGGTGATCTATCTCAATTATTGGACTAGTTCCTCTATCAAAGGTTCAAATTGAGCTCTATTTTTATCACAATCCGTCAAGAATCTATTTATGAACCAGAGTTCGCTCTCTAGATATTTTAATTGCAGTTTGACTTGGGCTAGCCGGTTGATTTCCTGTGAGAGCAACTCGTCTAGTTTCTTCAAAATCAATTTGATAACTATATTAGTTGCAAATCTAGAATTCATTCAATGGGGCTCATATGCAGGGTTTTCACTCAGTTACTAGTCTTGTCATGGGAATCAAATCTGATGAACTATGAGACAAGAAAATAGAGATCTCAACGTCTACATAAAGTAAGCCTCTCATACAAGAGATGGTCAATCTTCATTCCTCTCTTAGGAAACTACATAAAAACTTCATACCTTTGCTCCCATGCTACAGCCTCTTTTAAAACACTAATGATCCAGAATTCCCATACTCACACCTGTCTTATCTCATGACATATATCGTTAAAAAGACCTTGACATTGTAATTCATTAGCACTGACAGTTGAGTTGTCAATGTGTTGGCGAAGAGCACATCAACTTTTTCATTCAAAACTATTCCTAGGAAAGACTGTATAAAGGCCTGGTGATTATATTTTCAGTAGTTAGTTGTACTGCAAAGTAACATATAAGGCTTCCCTAGGCTGTAATTATACTTTTGTGATAACAACCCTTCAATGTTTTTCTATGAAGTGCAATAAAATTTATCTTGCTTGAGAGGCTAGAACGGAGAGTGCAGAGCACAAGGTCAAAGCTAATAGTAACATGATGGTTGTTTGAAGGAGAATATATTTCTTCATAGAGTACAGAGAATTGAATTGGCTCTCTCAAAGTGTGCATACTGACATTTCCTTATCCCAATTGACCATAATCAATGAGGTTAGAAGAAGAAGGAGACGAAAGGGAATGGATGAGCAAGAAGAGGAAAAAAAAGAGGCAATGGACAATGTCAACTATAGTTACTTACTGTCAACAACAGTTACTCTCCCCAAGGTTGCAGATGGCAATTGCATGCAACAGGCCACCTGTTGCTGGGGTGTCACGTCCAAGCTAGAAAGCTATCAGAGTTTTGGGTTTTTTCATTGAAGTTAAGAGCTATTTTGTACTATTTTTTTGTACTGCTTTTGTACTATTTTTGGTAATATAATTAGATGTCCTTAAAAAGTTGGCAAGTACATTAATTTTCCTTTCTTTATACAATGAATAGGTCTGACCTAACATTTTGTTGTGTTCTTCTTCTGAAGGCATGCTAGCTGTCTTGGTGCTTTTATTCTTCTTCATCCTGGTCATTGCATTAGACTTACATCAATTTTGGAAAAGGATACTTTGATCCATAGTCTCATTCTTTGTATCTTAGGCAACTTTTGCATGACTGATGATAATTCTTCGGATGGCTAAAATCAAGAAATTGTGCGGTGGGTGTGCATTAGATCTTCCGAAATTTTTAAGTTCTTGAGGTTCATCACTTTTCGTTTTCACAGTTTAGGACTGTTTTCTACAATGAAGTTCTCTGAGCTTTTTTTTTTCATAATTCAGGCATATATCTTCTCTGTTAGCTTTTTGATTCTAGAGTGAAGCATAGCTAATTGATGAACAGCTGCTGATTGATGGGTTCTCTCATCTCTCCTTCAAGTATGAATTGAATGAAGACTTCATTGATTCCTGTGAGTTGACAGTTAGTCGCCTTAATGCCTGAATGGTTCCTTCAGGACAGAAGTCAACCCGGGGGCCAATGCATCATCTTCCTAAGCACCCAATGGCTAATTTTCTGCTAACCCATCACGGCCATATACGAGCTGAAGTGGGCAGGCTCCACTGCAGGTACATACTTGATGAAAAATTGTAGCCTTTTGAGATTTTGATGGGGAAGGGTATGGGGAGGGGGACCCATACCCATTGTTCAACTAACCACTGTTCAGGTCGTGTCCAAAAGGGGGACCCTGCTGTCTTAGCCTAGAGTTGGAAAGAGAAAGTCAACGACTTTTAGTCAGCATGAACCCAAAAAGGAAAACAATTTCTGCCATGATTTTTTTACATACAAAAAAATCATTGAATCATTTATGTTGGTCAAAGGATGATGATTATTGCTCACAAGAATTCGAAGAGCTCAATTATATTTCCAAAAATATACCGACAGTGATGCTCAATTCTCCAAGCTGATTTGAACTCATTTGGTTCGCCTCAGCTGGATCAGGTGAGCTCTCAAGCTACACTCCTTGACCTGTAAGGGTGAGAGAGGAGGATGAGTTTAAGTTGGAGTTTTAGAAGTCTGTCCCCAATATAAATTTAGATAAATATAAGAAGAAGATTATCCAAATTTGAATCATATTATTCAGCATAATTTGCTAATTGTTATGGTGAATATGAAGCTAAACAAAGATATGAATAGATTCTCCCATATTAAAAACTTTAGCATTATCATCTATTTAATAGCAACATGCATAAAATTAAATCAAACCTGATAAGAAAAGAATAATGTCTGTACATAGCAAAGTATCGAAGAGAAGATGATATTTACCTGCAACTCCTGCACCCCAGCCAAGAAGTCACCGCATTCTTCAATAAGGGCTCGTTCTTCGCAGACCACCTTTGCAAGATCAGATGCCACATTCTGCATTCCATCAGCCTGCAAGCAGATGATCTGCTGATTATTCTCAGTGGCATCAAATTCTTTCATATGTTCTTTGAAAATATGAGCACTTGGGAGCGGCTTTTGAAAGAAGCATGTGCCCACCTTTGGGAGAAAACATTTGACCCTCGAGGCCAATGATTCTAGAACATCTGTTGCAGAGTGAAGGGTCACACCAATCTCTTTCATGTCAACCTAGAAAAATATAATTATAGTATGTTTCAAATAGATGAATCCAGTCGTCAATTTTAAAATAATAATAAAAAAGGTAAGGATAAGAGATGGTTTACCTTCACATTTCCACTGACTGGGAGTCGAAGTGAAGCATCTTGGAGAGACTTGGCCGCTCCAGAAAGAGAACCTGAGCATTCATCTTCCAAAGAGGCCCATTCTGACAGATGTGGCATCTGAGAGAATCAAATCAGAGGTCCGAGTTAGAATATCGAAGAGAATTGACTTATCGGAATCAACAGTAATCGTGATTAACAATGCCTGCTTATAAATTGGTGAGGTTCTGCTCTTTCAATGTCATCCAGTTGAAGATCCATGATGGGCACAAGTTTATTGGAAAACAAAGAATAATCCTCACATTATAACACATTTTTTGACGTGAGATACTAAAAACTCAAATCATCATCATATTTTTCAACGAGATAGATTAAACTGCTTGAAGCTCAGTGCTTGAGTGAATTTCCCTTTTGATTCGATAAATATTCTACTATAAATAGATTTAACTTATTCGGTGATGGTAAACATGAATAAATCTCTTGTTGCATTCTCCTGTTGATGTCACTTTCATGCATCTTCCTATGCATCTTTTTCAACAAGAAAAACTACATTTGAAGCTGTTTTAAGAAATAACTACAAAAAATAAAAATTCATCTTACTTGTGCTTGAACTATAGTTGACACATTGCTCATCCTTCTCTGCTCGTTAAGTTCGATGTGCTTTGTTGTGACAGAATCACGGAGTTCCAAGAGATTAGTTGAGAGAGCATGAAGTGACCTCTGCAGATAATGTTTGATCTCCCGTTAGGACGTTATTATGAACTTGAAAATAAAAATAAATAGTTATATTAAGCAACATTAAGAATCACAGAATTTCTGTATGGAGCATCTTTCGCACTATAACTGTTTATTGGAAGCAGGTGGATGGATTGATTGGCTACTGTACAGAAGAATGACGACAGATTGGAGTCACGAACCTCGGCTACAATCTCCCGCGCTTCCATAGCTGCCTGTGCTTTAGCATTGACAAATCTCCACTGGAGGTAGCAATTTTCCAGCAGTCGGAGAGTGTGAGAGTCTTCTTGGCGACTCGACATCTTCCTCCCTTTCCTCGAGTCTAATCCCATCTTCCCGATTGCTGTTTCTGCCCTCGCGATGCCTGAATGGTCCTTGGGCGAAGCGGCCAATTTACAGACGCTGGAGGTTGGATGTATTTGTCGGGGTTGGCAGCTAGACAGTGCTGAATTCAAAGACCGGTGGCAAAGAGACGACGAAATTCCTCGATATGACGAAGAATCTGCATGGGAATACTTCCCTTCTGTGGAAACCCTCGTAGCCATTGTCGGGAGCAAATCCGCTTCGGGCATGGAAGAACGGCACTCTGAGCTCAGCCGTGATCTGCTGCTCTGTCCGTGGATAGGAGGGCTGTCACATATCCCCATCCCTCCAGGACTGCTTATGCTGCAAATCTCGGTCTCCGAAAACTCGGTCGTAGTCGAATTCTCCGGAGATGTATTCCCCGATCTGCTGCCGTTAGCTTCATACTCCGAGGAAGGAGTCCCAGGCCATCGTTGGCCGGCTCCTTTGAGAGTTTCCTGAAGGGAACGGTTGACTTGAGTCGAACTTCTTCTCGATCCTGTCCGCCCGCTCAGTGATCTTGCTTGGTTTTGGCCATCTGGTGTTGGCCGGGGGGTGACAGAGGTTGCAGCGTTCCTCTCCAGTGGATGAACCATCGGAGTACCAGGCCTGGGCTTCCTGGCAAGGAATTTAGATCCAACAGCCCTCGAAGGCAAGGCGTCTGGAACCTTAGGGCTGTCTGGTAGTCGCAGCTGCGGATCTTGCTCGCCGCCATTCTCCCGGAAGAGCCTCACCACTCGCCGGCTCTGAGATACGGCAGCCTTCCCCCTCTGGATTCCCGATGGACAGGGAGTCTCCGAGATCCGATGCCCCTGCGCCGGCTCGAAACGATTCTCGTCGGCGTAGCAGGAACCTTCGGTGTCGGAATCACCTCGATCGGGTCCTGGCGGCGGCCGCATCGGCGGAGACGGCGATCGTCGAGCTCGAGCCATCTCCCCGTCCGCCGTGGGAACGGAGAACAGCGCGTGATGGTGTTTCTGTTTCTGGAGTGGCTTCCTCGGTGGATGCGGTGGGAAGGCGGCGAAGTTGAGTGCAGCAGCAGCGGAGGAAGACGAAGAAGAGAAAGAAGAAGACGTCGCGGCGCATGGCGATGTGATCGCCGCCATATACCTGGAGCTGACCTCCCTCGCCCGCCGCTGCGTCCGTGGCGGCTTCTTCTCCCCGTGGGGGCCATCTCCTCTGGGCGTGGACGGAGGAGCGTTCATCTGTGGCTTCTCTCTTGCCTCCATGGGAGGAGCTCCAGCAATTCGCCCTCTAGCGAGAGAGAGAGAGAGAGAGAGAGAAGTAGCCGTTGAGGGGGGGGGGGATCGACTGAGAACAAAGGGAGGGACGGATGTAACGGTCGTGTTTATCGGGGAGTAGTATTGGGATTTCCTTACCTGCGGAGACGTTGAGGCGGGGTACGGGGATTTCGAGAATTTGAAAATTTCCAGGCGGTTACAATGGTCCACAGGAAAGGAACCACCGAATCTACGGAGATTCATCCATCGTCTCACGATCGGAGGGCTCTCCTCAATGGTGGACCCCATATCTGAGAAGATCTCCCATGTGGGCCGTTTTGGGGGCTGATGAACGATGGGAAGCCACACTATAGGCTTTGAAGGGCTCAGGCCCATTGACCCATTTTCATCACTTCTCTACATGGGCCGGTTTGACGGCTGATGAACCATGGAAAGCCAAATATGGGCTTGAAGGGACCGGGGCCATTTAGCCCATTTTCATCTCTCTATCTACATGGGCCGGTTTGCGGGCTGGTGAACAAGGAAAGCCAGAATTTGGGTTTGATAGTTCCAGGCCCATCGACCCATTGTCTCTGTTGTCTGTCTGTCTCTCTCTCTCTCACTCTCTCTCCCTCTCCCTCCTCTCTCTCCCTATATGTACCCATGGAAACAACCTGGCCATTAAGAAGCAAGAAATCCCATGCACACGTACCCATCTCCAGATCTGATTTTCTCTCTCTCTCTCTCTGTATACCCATGCAAGCAACCTGGCCATTATGAAGCAAGAAATCTCATGGCATACTCCTACCCGGTGCAGCAGCGGGTGTGAACTATGTACAGGAGGGCACTCTAATATGGAGGATCGACCTCTGCCCTCACCAGAGGCTGTTGAAGCTACTTAATTTTTTTGGGAGCCAATGTGTATGAATGAACATGATGGCTCCCCACATATTTCTGCGTTCTATGTGTGGTCCTGCACAGGGTGGGCTTGGATTAGTGATCTCGTTCAGAGGACGACGACAGGGCCGCCACCGCCGCCTCGGAGTTCTCTACCGACGGCCTCTTTGTGAGCTTGGCGGCGGTTCATCTGGCACAAAATAATGAGAGAAGCAACGTCAGAGGGTTGCAATATAAGATCAAATAACAGATATGGAAAACCTAACAGGAGAAAGATGATAGAATCTTACGTATAGCAGTGCAATTCATCACCTTCAATGAGGGATTTTTCTTCTTTTTCTTCTTTTAGTTATTTTATTTTCTTCTTCTTTTCTTTTTTTTTTTCCTTTTTTGGGGGGGAGGAGGGGTGATGAGAGAGAAACAGATGGATAGTGAGGGAAGCCTTACATGAGAAAGCCGGATAATTTAAATAACAAAAATATTATTCATCTCCATCACAGAGGGGCGGAGGGATGTTTTTATTTGATGGGGGAAGAGAAGAATTCAAGAGAGAGAAACCAATGTATGGTGTTCTGAGTGGCCGTTGAGAGTGTAGAATGGGCGATTGAATAATGTTCTTAGGAAAATCTTATATAAGAAAGATGACGGAATTTAATGTATAATAACATAATTTATCGCCTCCACCGAAGGTTTTTTTTTCTTAGTTTTTTGGTGGGGGGGTGCTGATGAGAGAGAAACCAACTGCAGTAGGCTTCTGGTAGAATTCAAGAGAGAGAAACCAATTATTGTGGGTGATTACTGACAATGTATGGTGTTCTGAGTGGCCGTTGAGAGTGTAGAATGGGTGATTGAATGATGTTTTTATGGTAACCTATAATCATGATGTTTAAGAAAATCTTATATAAGAAAGATGACAGAATTTAATGTATCATAACATAATTTATCGCCTTTCTTCTTCTTTATTTTTTGGTGGGGGATGTTGATGAGAGAGAATCGAACTGCAGTAAGCTTGTGGCAACTGGTGGCAGAATGAGTGATTGAATGAAGATGATGATCCTTGGGAAAACCTTATAAAAGGAGGTTGGTATACTTTCCAAACTAGTCAAGGTCTGGGCCGTTAATAAGAACTTGAATGGCAATCAAACGGCAAGCAAAGGAGATCATCTCACCTGCTTCTTCTTCGTCGTCGTTTTGGGTGGTGAAGAACGGAGTGAGGTAGTTCTTATCCAACGCAGTGAAGGACGGCCTACTGCAGGAGAAGATTGCAGACCACGCGGAGTTAAAAGGGCAATAAATAATCTGAATCCTAATAAAAAAAACATGAATTTCAATCTCCAATACGTGAATTCTTTGAGCCTCATCTTCAGTCTGCTTCCAGAGGAGGAGCCTTCTTCATATGTAGGAGCAATGTAGCCGTTATTCCCCTCGAAGGTCTGGGACAAAAAAGTCAACGGTACATTAAGCAACACAGCCCTGATAGATTTACAGAGTCTCATACAACATAACTAGACAGGTGCTTAGTGACGCAGCTGGAGCTCAAACATACGACCGATTCAGCTGAAGCTCTGGGTTTAAGATCTACAGTCAAAGCCTGATAATGTAAACTCTAAAGAGCTCGCCGATTGAGCAGGGTCTTGATTTTACTATTTATATCCTACTTGCGTCGATCACTTAGATTACTCAGGAAAAAAGAAAAGTTTTCCGCATTAAAGAAGAATAATGAAGAGAGAGAGAGAGAGAGAGAGAGGCATCTCGAGATCAAACTCACATCCTCATGTGAGCCATCAGGTCCATCACCGACGACTTCAAGGGCTTCAAGCATAGGACCGGTGGACCCTCCAATCAACAAAACCTGCATTTTTCAATGAAGAGATTAGAAATCTTGCCGGTCTCAGATATTGGTAAATAAAAGAGAGGATGAAAACAACAGGAAAACGTGTTCTATTACGACGTCAGTTCCCAGTTACCAAAAACTTCAGCGTAAATGAGTATGAAATGGCTCATATTTTCAGGTTTCAGAGAGAAATCGTCTCCAAACTCAAGAGATTTAATCAGCCTATGCTGATGACATAGGCAATGGAGGCATCAAGAACTCAGAGAATAATGGCCTCCATCACTAAAAGGAAAGCGAAATAAGTAGGTCTCAGACAGGGCTATTGGGACGTGGCCTACAAGTGATTCAGAAAAGCTGTAAATTTATTACAATCACAGATAAATATCAGTGTAAGGGATCCATAAGAACTTCATAAAAGAAAAACACGTATTAACAACAAAAAGATGGATCCTAGAGACCATTTGATGACCGCTAAACAGGAGATTGTAATGAATGCGAGAATCAGGTGGTATAAAAATAGAGAATAAGTAGTTGATTTACAAACAGATTTAATAAATGTGGGTCTCAATAAACAGACTATAAGTTAGCTACTGGCATGAAAAAAATTAAAATTTTACCTCCAACATGCACATAAAAATAACATTAAAAATTTTCAAAAAACCCAAAAAATATGACGAAAGAATAAGCAAGTGTTTATTAAATGGAAAAAGAATTTTAATATGAATCGATAGACTATGATCATTAACCTATAAGAAAGTTTCAAAATTACATTATTTTGATTCGATATTATTTAACGTAGGATTAAATAAATGATAAATAAGCAATTTTCATATTCTTTGTATGGGTATGGAGATATTCCCCTGGAACAACACAGTTTTTAAATAGAGATGATAGTCTTTAAATATGGAAACCAAAGAATAGGGAAAGGGGACAAGGGGCAAGGGGCAAGGGACATAGACGGATTGGTCAGAGAACACTTACCGTCAAGACAACAATGGCAGTGGTAGCTGTGAATATCGTCTGACCATGCCCCTCTGGAAGATCATGTGCTGACTGCAAGGCAAGGGCAAAAGCCATGGCTCCTCTAAGCCCTGTTTTAAAAAGGGCGGCAGCACTCATTAATAAACAATCAAAAGAGATGTCATCCTGAGAACGGAATCTTATACTGACCACTGTACCATAGGGCCTTTTGATGCTGTATGGGTATTCTGCGGTTTGCAGGCCGGACCATGTTGACAATATAAGCACAGGAGAAAACATTCGCAGCCCTTCAAATTAAAAACCACAATGAGATTATTTAGAATACAATTCTCAAAAGAAAACCAGAAAATAAAATGAATTATTAAATTTTAGAGCATGTTTTTCATTCTATGGTAAGAACAACTGCAGTTGATAAAGGAATGGGCATGAAAAATGGGAAAGAGAAAGTAAAAACTTCTCATTTAGGAAAAATGAACGGGCATTCTGTGACTTAAAGCTAAAGACCAAGGTTAAACATTAGGATTAATTGGAGACCGGAAAAGGAAACAGAAAGACTGTCGTAAAAATTTCAAGTCCTAGGTACGCTTCTGAAAAATTGAATTATCCTGACAATGATGAAGAATGCAGACCTTGCAATTCCTATAAACAGCTGGCCGATCCCCAAAAATCGTAGGGTCAAGGAACACAAGAATAATCACTTAAATTCAGAAATAAATTTCATTTTTTACATTATAAGGATACAATTGAGAATAAGATGAAGCCGACATGCGACCAACTATGATCTTCCATAGCAATATCGAAACCCATGTATATGAACCTGCGGGCAAAAGGAATTTTGTAAGGATAAGCATTAGATAGATATTATTGTCCATAAGATCCACAACTCCAATAATAAGTCAGTAAGCTTACACAAATGTTTCAGCTAATGAAGATATCAAATGAAAAAAACCAGTGGCAAAATGTTGGGACTTTTCTGACAAATTTGTGGATGTATAACGCTTCATTACCTAGGAGAAAAATAAAAATAAAGTGAGATATGATTTAATACAACTAACCAAGGTAATTACAGTATAAATTCAAGGCCTTAACATTACACTTACAATCCCCGTGAATAATATTGATACAATACCCGAAAGGCCAGAACCCTCAGCAAGCATGTACCTAGATGGAATAAAATGTTGAAGGGGATTAAGAATTTAAATTTAGCAAACTAAGTGAAAATTGATCCATAATTTACTTACGAAAAGTATGGAAAAAGAACAAAGAGGCAGCACTCCAAATTCTGCAAACTGGAAACAGACAAATAACAGGAATTTCAGAGAGTTCCCAAAGATTGAAAGTGTATATTTTTTATGATAGAGAACGTTAAGGCATACTTGTCAACGTCCAACCCCGCATACTTGAAGAGGTGCCTTGAAGTTAAGGAATTCCAAACTATTCTACACCAGAACTAATAAACAAGAAAGTAAATATCAACAGACTGTAAGATTCATACGAAATGAAAGGTAACAGTCGACTACAGCATCGTCAACATTTTACAGCTCGGTTATCTATAATGGCTAGTGGAATTTATTCCAATCATCTTCAGGATCAAATCAGTTTGCGAACTAAAGGTATATATGCAAGTTGCATTAAGTGTATCTCCAAGTCTTGAGCAAGAGAGTTCACAGGCATGGCAATTAAGAGGGATCAATCCGACTAACTTGCAAGACCAATTGCAGATAGATACTAGGCAAAATGTTGAGGTTTGACACAAGTTACTTTGAATCCACCAGTCATTACTGGATCATGCCCTTCTTGGACAAAGAAAGTAGATTCCATTGTTGAATAACAAAACAAAGAGATTAGAATATCAAGTCGTGACAACTTGTGATCACAACTGAACTACCAGCTTGATACCATCCTAATCTATTATATGAGCTTTAGAGGGTATTCTCACATCACGTGCAAGCAATTTAAAAGAACTAAGAAAACCGATCTACAAATCAAGACATTTATTCCTGTATCGGTATTGTAAACCTAAAAAAAATGCTGAGATATGTACAAATGATTCATTCGAACACCAACCACTTAAGGTGATTTCCTGTAACTTGTCCTTTCTATTGCCTTTTTATTGATGTCATGGCAACTTACTCGTGATATTCCTCATCATAATAAATCCCTTTTGGATACCAGGTTCAAGCAAGCATATATTCAATGAAACATATGGTCATTAACACAGACTGAAACCATTTTCCAACAAAATTTGTATTAAGATGGCTGAACTATCAGTTTTCACAACTCAACTGTCCCAGGCACCCTAGCCAATCTCGCAGATACTAGTTGCAATCCTGAATCGGGTTTGGTTTCCACTGATCTAACATTCGGATTGAGATCACCTTGCAAGATCACGCACACACAAAATGAAAATTCAATGTTCTCCTAAATGCCTCAATGAATGTCAGGAAGTGAAGGACAACGGTTTAGCTAGTCAAGTAATGGCCAAAGGTGATAGTGAGAGGAATCCATATCAGTTGGATTGGCCAAGGATTGAAACAAGCTTTGGCATTGTTTTGGCAAAAATTACACCTTAAAATATTTTATCAGGTTTCAGCCGGCGAGGCACACAGCCCCAAATCAAATCAAAATCAAAAAAACCTCGAAACAATCCTTGCAATCTCTGGTTATCTCGTTGCATATCATGTCGTCACCTTTACACCTTTTTTTCGTTTCAAACATCAAGAAGCTTACAGAATCTACAGCCTCATAGGATGTCAACAAGGAAGTAATCTTTCATGCGTTAAACAATGCTGAACGAAAGGATATTAGTGAAGAAACGAATCCAACTCCGATCCCTGAAAACGGATATATGAATGTCAGAAAATTTATTAAAAATAATTACGACAAGTGCAAGTAGAAGACAATTTCTGAGAAGAACTATTGTAAGAAGTATCATTTAAATTTTCAGCAGAAATTGGAGGGATTCAGAATTCGCTTGAATCGGTGACACAGGCAAATCAATAGTGGTGCAAAATTGGAGTACCATAGTGAATCAATAAATATTTACTATATGCAGGATCTGTGCAGTAGGCTTTGAATATTTTGAAATCATGATAATTTCACTTATCTTTTTAATCTAGATTCCGTCATTATTTTGTTTATATCACTAGAGAGAAACATTAAAACAAGACAACAAGAAAATACTTTACCAATAAGTACCATACGACTAGTGAAAAAACCTGCAGATTTTGCATAAATAACTGTAGGACTAATAAAATCCTGACCAAACTAAGGGAGATTCCCGGAAACATACACAAAAAAGGAAATTACAAATATATTAAAACTTTCCACGCACTGTGGCTTCAGTCTGAACACTAATTTATAACTTATTACAACCTTGTATACTTTTATTTCCTCTTTCCTTTCCTTTTTCCTCTGTTCATTTACATACTCGAACTTTATTGCTTCCAGCTAACTGCGGCAAAAACATATCCCACCTGCAGGTGCAGCAAGAGACCCCTAGGGGCACCCGTCAGTGGCCTCCAACGACATTGATGTTCTCTCCAGCGGCTGGGGGGAGACGCTAGTGACCTCATAAAACTATTGACGAGACTCCGCAATGGATAAGGATACAGATGAGTAACCAGGTCATGATAACTAAAATTCATGGACTTTGAAAGTAGATGAACCTAGGGAGAGAAGAGCAGTGAAACAAACTAAGAAACCTAAGGTTTTATATGACTTCGAACAATAGAAGGGAAGAGAGAAGGAAACAAAACTCCAAACTGTCTCTGCTCTACCCCATTTGCTCTACTCCAACGTCTTTGGCATGTTGTAGACCACCGATAACTTTGGTCTACCCCATTAGCCCTGCCATTCCAGCATTCTGTCAGCATTGCTCTATCCAACAATATTCCATAAGAGTGTTATTCAATGAAATGAATATTCTGATTTTTGTGCATTCCCAAGCGACTGTTTTTCCTCTAGGTCCACTGTGTCAACACTCCCTGCATTACAAATTTACTAGAAATCTACAGGTGCCACCACCATATCTAGCCCACTTCAATAAACACCCCACCAATTAAAAGTCCCCGCTGCAGGCCAAATATAGGTGGTGGCCCGAAAGTAAAAAGGTTCAGAGCTAGAAACTATTTTTTTGTTGAGAAAGCCTAACACCAGCCAAACTCTGTGAACAAAGTACAAACGACTCACTGCCAAACAGTCCACCGCATTGGGCTCAATAATTGCAAGAATAACATATCTCATCGGAATTATGAATTTATATAAAATACTAAAAAATAAAATTAAAAAAATTAGAAAAAATCCAAAATTTTATAAAAGTGCAGGGATTCTAAAATAGCTTCATAGACAGTGAACAACACCAAAAATATTCATAAAAAAGTAAAATTAATTTACAGTAAAACTTCATAAAAGTTTTACTTGTGTCCTTGTTGTATGGAAAGTATATTAACGTATCCGTTTTTCAAAAAATAGTTGAATAAAAAGCTATCTAACTTATTATTTCATATCTTCTCACAGGCATTACTTAGAGGCAGACAATAAAAGTAAATCAAAGGAATAGAATCGACTCTGGCTGCAGTTAATGAGGAAGATCCAAATATAAAGGAGCATACGATCCCTAAAACAGAAGCTGACAAAATAACATGATGTTGCAAAATATGTCCAAATCAATGATGGCTCTATAAACACGTTCAAACCTGACTCAATTTTATCACTTATCACTTCAAAGCATATAACAAGAAATAAGAAGCAGTATGAAAACTGATGTCTAGCGGAGAAATAATGGAGTGTAAATCTAGAATAACCTGAACCCATAGATCCCAAGAATGTCTCGAGAAATTTCAGGATAATGCCAAGGAAGTTGTGTCCAGATGAAGCATGGCTTCTAACCAACGCCATCGTTCTAAAAAATAGACAAGGAAGAACATGAGGACCAAATGTGAACCAAACATGGACAACGAATGAGAGAAACTTCAAGCTCCTGGATCAAACCTGTATAGAGAAATTGCCATCTTCAAGGTTTTCACCAGTTTAGAACAGAAAATGAAGTAATAAACAACATCAGCTAAGACCAATAATGAATACAAATTTCTGAGACTGAGATATACGTACTGCATCATTTAAAACAGATTCACCAAAGACTAACGCATAAAGGTTCACATCAGTGCCAAGCTCCTGCAAAGGACAGCTGAAAATTATCATGAAAGTTCAAAACAACCATTTTTCTCAACAGTACAAGAAAAGGTTCAAAACAAGAAGATGTAATTCCCCACAGGGGAGAAATGTGGAAAATGATTAAATTATACGAATCCAAATTAATTCATAGTTAGGGTGGTAGGCTAAATTGCTGCTCAAAAATTCATCCATCTTCTACAAAGTCAGGACATCAATGACTTATACCACCTTTATTCTAAAAACCCTTGCCAAATAAACGACTTGCAATTGCAACACATTCTTCAATCTTTAATCCATCAAAAGTGACAGTGATTGGATTTTCAAACAACAACATTTTCAAGCCATAAAGACAACGCCTTTTGATCAGAGGAAAAGAGACAACAGACGTAAATTACATTCATGTGCTACAAATAAGAGAAGATGGGTACTCTGTGGAAAGGACACTTTTCTCTTTGATTTGCCAGTGAGGAAGAAGCAACAACAGACACCAAGTAACATATAACAAAGTATCAATTTCTAAAGCCTATTTTTTTTCAGGGAGCACTGAAGCATTTTATGTCAATAAAGATTTCAAAATTGGATCATATGTTATACGTTATTTCTTGAGAATTCCAAAAGGCTGCCTCTCATCAACCGAAAGTTCAATGGAAATAAAGATCCAAACTATGAGACCTAGTTCTCAAGAATCGTAGAAAAGGGTCCACCTCTCGTTTTTAAGAATAAAAAACTAAAAAGGTGGATACTAATCGTTCAGAACTGAGTCACACTAAAAGTTATATCGTGTATTCCTTAAACCTTCAAATTTGAGACTATCCCTTAGAAGACATGGATTTGTTATCCATCTGGTAAGGAAGAAGCACCTTTCTACCAGAGGTACTTCATTGAGTAACTATGTTAACACTCAATGATTATAGGAACAATGATAACCTAATTTACACATGATATCAAGATATTGAAATTGCACATGGAATGCGATACAAATTAGTTATTTAGTTGTTAGAGAACAGCTGGATGTACAACACCAAAAAAAGATAGCTTATCTATTGAAAAGTTCTTCAAATAATATATCCTGACACATTATGCGAAAAACCTACATACACAGTGCTCACAAGAACGTGGATGTTAGATTGTCATTTCATGCATAAAGTTTAGAAAATAAAATATTTTAAAAATGATTAAAAGATGATTGTATCCGCGCAGCACTAATGTAGAATAATCAATAAGACGATCAAATTTTTCAGTCTTCTTACAATAGAACCTAAGAATTCTATTCTTCAAAATAGTTCGTAGTATTTGGTTCTTATCATGCATGAACCAAATTCAAAATGAAAAATATAACTGGAATGCAATGGAAAATTCCACGTATGAACAATAGACTTACCCTCAGTTTACACCCTGATGCCCACAACTTAATAAGAAGAGAATTTCCTTAAAGAGCAAGAAGAAAAATGCAGGACAACCCGGCAGAACTCGGTTGAATAAATGTCATTCTGAATGAGTTAAATAATGCCTTAATTTGTACGAATAATGATTTTTCTTGGTTAGCATAACTAATCTTCCATCTCGTTATGTTCCAGATAAGCATTTTTCGTTCTAAAATAGAGAACGGCTGCCACAGTGCGTGCTAAGAATACTCCCAACGAATCACGAATTAAATATTCTATGGGCTGGCTACTACTATCTTTTAGAGTCCTCAATCATGAATTAAAGTATTTAAATGAGTGAATTGAAACAATGTAAAAGTAGCTTTATAGTGAAACCATTGCATTTTACTCATAGGTTCTTCCTGTTAGCCTAATGTGGAAGCAGACTTGTTTATCTGTAAGCTTTTCAGCCTCTCTATTCTCTCTAGTCCAAAGTTCCTGTTTTCTAATATCTTCAGTTCCATCGCTTTCAGATTGGATTCCCATACAGAGTTGAACTGATATGTGATAAATTGAAATAAAAGACTCCCACAGCCACATATCAGCCACATAAACGGTAAGAGCAAATTCTTGCAGTTCTCCATGTACTGTAGGTATATTATTGCTGAGAGATTCTGTATACATGGTTAAAATATAAAGAATGATACAATATCTTAGGTGCATCCTGAGGGAACTGATGTTATGGTAAGCTTCTAAAGATCTACGATTAGTACACCTACTGAAATAATGACGAACCTGAAATATGGATAATACTGTGACAGGATCAGTTGCTGAGATCAGAGAACCGAACATCAGACACTCGACCAGAGGCAATCTATACATGAGGAAGGCCAGACCGCCAAGATAACTGCAACACAGAAAATTCCCATCCAAAGTAATTCAGAAAAAAAAAAAATCAGATTCGATGACAAAAGGGAAATTATACGAATATGGGGAACGCAGGCTTACACTAATACACCAGTGACAATTGAAGCAATAAATGTGCCCAAAATAGCGAATGTGATGATGGCTCCAAAGTTCGAAAAAAAGGGTTTCTAATAATAAGATAGTATAAATGGAATTAGACATATGTAAAGATAGAAAGAAGAAAAAAATACACGTTGTGTAAAAAAACTTACAGGTGATAAGCTGAAACCAGACTGGGTAAGCTAAAGTCAAGGTTAAACGATGGGTATTAATAAGAAAACATCAAAAGTTTAAATTTATGAATGATCTTAGAACATGATGTAATAGTTATATCTGAAAAAGAAAAAGAATTGTTATCGTTTGGATATAATATAATTGGTGGCAACAGGAACAAGAAGAAAAACTCTTCGTGGAAATTGAACCAGGTCCTGTCAAAAAAAACGTGAAGATTATGAGAAACACTGTGATCCAATCTACATAAATGGAACTCACACAAGTGGGAAGATGAATCCAACCTAAAGCTGGTCTCCGTGTTTGATACGTTAGCTAGCATACCCACAATTAAACCTGATAAAGGTAAAAATAATGCCCTGTCATGGACTTTTGAGCGCAGTTTAGATAATGTTGAGATAATGACTGCATGGGATACATTCGAATTGGATCGCTGGTACTTTGCATATGTAAGTAAATAGTAACGCAATTCTATAATGGAATAAACTAAAAAAGTATCTAAATTGTTTATTAAAAAAATCGAGATACCAACTGTAACAAACGTGAACTAGTTTATCTAACTATTCATCTATATTCCCGACAGAATTCAGCATTTAGTAGGAACTATTAACTTCTTCGCAAATATTTCAAGAAATATTTGTTTCCTTTCGTTATTTTACTTGTTTGGAGTTTTTCTAATCTCGGTCGATGGGAAGGTTAGGTAAGGTGTGAGGGGTTCCTACATTTGCGAGTTGATCAGAAAAATTCAAGGATTAGTGAAATCTAATAGCGATGGACAAGACTGGAAGAGATTCTTCAATGTCAACTCTAAAAGAAAAAAAGACGAAATTCGGTCGCATTTTAGGTTCCAAATACTATTGATAAACAAAGAAAAGCAACTTGGTTGTTGCATGCATTAACCAAGCGTTTGACTACGCATTGATCCTCAGTCAATTTTCCAAGAAAACAAGGTCTTAGAAGGCCCATTTCCCAAGTGAGCCGCTACCATGCCTTATTCCCGTGTCCGACCACTCGCCGAGCTTACAACTACACGAGTGAAATTAGAAAGTGACATCCAAACAAGCTTCGACCCTCACCGATGAGGAGAGAGGCGCTGGCCTCGGGTACGTAGTAAAACCTGTGTCGTCGGAGGACGTGCCCTAGGACGAAGGAAAGAACCAGCATCATGATCTGCAGAAGGATCCCCAGCCCTGCCTCCTGCTGCTCCTTCCCCGGCCTCACCGGGGGGCTTCCCTCCGGCGGCGCCGTCGAGTTCAACCCCAACATCTCCAGCGCCGACGTCCCCATCATCATCGGGAGACCGCCGCTCCCTTCTCCCCACTCCTCCCTCTCTCTCCCTCTCTCTCCCTCTCTCTCTCTCTCTTGCTCCTCGCTTCCGTTACTTCCCGTCTTCTGCACGCTGTCAACTCCCCAGCCCTTCTTTTTTTAGTTGGGAGGAGGGTCACCGAGGAAATGGTCGGGGCCGTACTGCGCGGTGCCGTAGTGGGCCCCACATCGATAATAGGATCTTTAGTTCACCCCAGGCCGGGCCCACCATTCCATTAGCCCCGGCTCGGCCCGTTGAACACATAAAAACCATGTCTTGGCGTTCTGTGATCTTTAGTAGCGTGAGAATAATGTCTCAATATGAAATTTCCCCTTTATATCATATTCCCACGTGGAAAATGTGCGCATTACCATATATGGATGTCCTATTTCACTGATAAAATTCATTTATGATGTATTTGATCAATTATATATAAAGTACATGTTTGGCTATTTTTTGGTAGCCGTGATGGATAAATACAGCTCTTTCTTATTATGTAAGTCAATATAATGTTACCCATTTGATTATGGATGCTGCTCAAGTCACAAGCATTAAAAAGGTGGAATATTCTAATGAAGAAATTCACATAACTCTTTTTAGAATTTCTCAAGTAATCCTATTTTTTAAAATAAAAACATCTACAAACGAGATGCTAACAAGTCAACCCCCATAAGATGCTAACAATGAAAAAAAAAATCATTATCAAACTATTTAATACATGTTTTTACGCATAAGTGAAGGTTTTTAAATTAAAACATGACTAAGAGTATACAATATTGTTGTTATTTCTCATGTGTTCTTCCATGAGGGGAATTGATGCCATGAAAATTAATGCTTGATAAAATGTATATATTTAAAATCACAGTATTTTAAATTTTAAAATTTTATTTTTTGATACCCCAAATTGCAAAGAATTTTGCAACTTGTGGCGTATAGGTTACTTTCAAAAATTTGAGCTTTATTTCTCAAATATTTATTAGTTGTAGTATAAAAGAAAATAGTTTATTTAGGGTAGTATTTATGTGAAGTGAAATAAATGAGGCTGATAATTGGAGAAAAATAGCATATATGTTAATGATATATTTATGATAAGATGAATTTACAAGGGTTTTGTGCAAAATGAGAAGATGTCTTCTAATATAGGAAATTTCGAGTCGTCTGGAACGAAAAAATTTGAAAAGAAGGACCTAGAAGGCACTCCAATGCACTTTAAATAGCAAACCATGCATTAGTGATGGATTGAATTATAGAGCCTTATCCTCCTTTCAGTTTCCTTTGTGATGTCTAGATGGTGACAAAGGTAGAGATGTTTCCCTTCCAAGTAGAGATCTACTAGTTCTTGAGACTCGTCATCAACACCTTCTACTCCAACAAAGAGATCCCATATAAAGAATAAATTAAAAGGAAGAAAGAAAATGACAAATCTGAAGGGAAAATGAATAGAACATGTGAGGTAAAGGAGGATGCCAACAAAGAGTTGTGAGCTTTAATAGAGGAAAGAAAAAGAACACTACTCTGTGAAGATAGAAAGAAGATTTATACATTGGGTATAAGAGAAAGAGAGACAAGAAAAAGGCTAATAATAAATAATAAAGTTGAAAGTGAGTCTATCCACTTCATTAGACAAAGTGGCCATGCCACCCAATACTCGTAAGTTGTAGGTGTAGACTTATTTTGTAAATTTTGTTTCGCATCAATTTCTTTATGTCATGTCTCCTTGTCTACAATGCTACTAGTGATCAATAATATATGTTTTGAGATTATGACAAATAAGAGCAAGCTTGATGGTCAGCTAGAGCTCTCTATTCACATCATCCCCAACAAGTCCAATATCACACCATCATTGATAGTGGCATTCATATGACCTAATTTGGTAGAGATTCATTGTCATGTTATTATTCTATCTTGTATCTTAATGGTTTCTTATTTGAAATTCATATTGTTTATGCTTTCTTTATTGTCATTTTATTCAAATCTTGTGAACAACTTGGGAACCATTCCCAAATAAGGAACCAAAGAATTCATGGAGGTGTTAGCCATTAAAGTTTAAGCTAATATAATTTAATTAGTTCTCCATTTGGTTCTATTGTATGCATCTTGTGGTGGAGAAGGTTTGTAACCACAAAGAATAATAATGATGACCAAGACAACTCAAATTCTCAAGATGATGCCCCTTCCACTATTATCAATGATACCTCTAGGGAGGTCCTTTATAGGAGAATCGAGATCATGTACATATATTTATTAGTTATCACATCCAACAACACACTAAGATAATATCTACTTGTTTCACTAGATATGCTCATAAATGTTTGAGCATTATTGAAATATAACGTTGTGTATACTAAATAGATAAACAAGCAAAGGCCTATGAATCTATCATATCAATTTTTCATATTTAATGTTTGTTTTTGTGAGTTTCCTTGTGAGAGGATTTTCACTTTAATCATAAATGTATTTTATTCCAATATGTTGTTTATTCCATGATTTATTTGTTTAATTAGGTTGTTTTCATCAAGCATAAATTAGATATGTTCAAAAATTTTAAGCTTAGATGTATTTATCTATGTTAATTTGTATGCTTTAATTAATATTTCATAGACATTTTACATTGTTATCTGGCTACAAAATTTAATGTTTAAAATGTGTCATAGATGTCCACTTAAGTTGATAATATGAGCACAAATTAGTGACTTATAAAAAATCATGTCTACTAGTATATTGAAATCATTATAGTGACATTTATTTTTATTTATATCAAAATTATTGACTACGTTATTCAAAATATATGTAAATAAATGGAAGAGACATATAGATGTACATATTTGCTGAATTTTAGAATACACTCATATCAAGAAGGGGGACTTAATTGATTAGATTCAAACCCTTGACTTGAATCGACTATTTCTTGATATAAAGGTAAAAGACTCAAAGATTTTGAAGTGATTGGGTCCTCCATCATGTACATCTCTAAGAATAACCTCATTATTAGGTTATACTAATCTATCCACTAGTCCAATTGTTGATTATTGAGCTCACCTCTCATAAATTTTACTTCAAAATTCTTTTCTAGATCAATTATTTGAGGAGCTAAATAAATGATTATAAGGTTCAACTATTTTGAGAGATTCAGTCAAGATTTAATCACAAGTTTATTTACATAAAAATAATAAAAGATATTAGCATGGGTTACTTTTAGAAGTTGTTGTTAGGTTTGAATACATACGAAAACTAGAACAAGAGAATGATGATGAAAGATTAATTCTTATAATCTTCATCTTGCAAGGAAGATGATTATACATAAGAGGCAATGCTACTTTAATTTGGCAAGGGAAGATTTTAGGAAGCTTGCATTTAGTTCATGGACTCATTATCTTCTTATCATCTAGCTATTAAGAAGACCTCTCAAATTCACATAAGACTCTCAAGATAGTATATGGATCAAAGGTGAATGTTCAAAACTATAGTTGTTAGAGATGTGTTAAGTTTATGAAAAAATTATCATTTTTATAATCTATAATATATCATTATTTGTATATGATTTATCAATATTTAAATTCTAAAATAACTTAAAAGTTTTGAACTTCTAGAAACTTCAATGGCTATAAACCAATATGACATATTTTTAAAAGTTTTGACATCCTCTAGAAGAAATTAATGTACATAACCACTAAAAAAAATGTGTTAGTTTTGAGGCATATTAGTTTGATAAAAATGTGTTAATGTTGGAATATAATTGATGATACATATTGAAATAATGTTAATAGTTTTTGAAAAAAGAAAATAAGGGTGCAGACATCAGGATGACGTTAGCGCCCCGGCGAACACGAATCAGGCAAAAATAGAATTCCACTCGATGATTCTTACGTAAGCGATTACAGACGATTTAATTGATCATATTAAGATTTGTAAAAGCTGAAAGAATCGTAATGAAATGAAGCATATCTTGGTAACTTTAAAATCAATAAATTATCACTTAATGAAATGAAATTAAGTTAAAAGCAGGAAAATAGAGTTTCAACGTCGCGGCGGCGATGCGTCAACGATGCACCGAAATCTTAAGCATTCGAGAAGGTCGTCGTGTAGTGTCCATGACCTCAAAGGCTCTCTTTAGACAAAGACAATGTGGGCAATCTCTAGATCTCCTTGCGAAGTCTAAAGATTAATGAAATGAGTCATCAAATCGTCTTCGATGGTTGTCATCTGGTGGAGTGAAAAAATAGTGACTTTGCGGCTCTTCGGCGACTGTCACTCGACGGAGAGGAGTTGGATGGAGGTGGGGCGCATGTTAAGAAGCTTTATCCTCAGGTCTACGTAGCAAAAGGAGGATCTTCATCAAATCTGGTACACTCTCAATAGGTGGTGACTCATTTCCTAGTAGATCATCTTCTTCTTGATGACGGCTTGTTGGTCGATCAATTAGAGATGATTTACTCGATGGATTCACGATCCTTTTATCGTGAATCGTTTAGTAATTTGAGTAACAATACTCCGCGAACCGCATTGACGAGATTTTCACTGATGATCTAGCGATTCTAGTTGCTTAATCCTTCACTAGTGATATGCAGAAAAGTCACAATAATCAAATAAAAATATATGACTTTTGACTCTAGGAGGATTCGAACCCCCGTCGGTTGCCCGCCCCTTATGGGGAAGGTGTGACACAAGTTTAGTCCCACATCGATTATGCACTGAATTTTTGAGCGAATGTATAATAATGTTACATTTCTAAGCAAGTTCTTTTCTTACGCATGTATGACCACTCTTTGCCCCACAACCAACTAGCCACCAGTGATGTGGAAGTGGAGTGACGCACACGTGCCCTATCAGTCTAAGTTGCTCAAGCTCCTACTTGTGGCTACTCCTCGATTGAGCTTCTAACCCACTTGTAGGCTCGGCTGGCTGGCGGGTCCACCATTTTGTCTTATTTTTATTTTTATTTCTTTTTCTTCATTTATCTCAAAATTAAGACTATAAAAAT